ACTCAGGAGGACTGAAAAGGAAGAGGACTGAGGAGAACTGAGGAGGAGGAGGACTGAATAGGAGGAGGAGGAGGAGGGGGACTGGGGAGGACTGAGGATGAAGAAGACTGACGAGAAGGATGAGGAGGAGGACTGAGGACTGAAGAGGATGAAGAGGAGGAAGACCCAGGAGGAGGAGGACTGAGGAGGAGGATGAGGACTGAGGAGGACTGAGGAGGATGGCTGAGGAGAATGGCTGAGGAGGATGACTGAGAGGGAGGAGGAGGAGGAAGAGGACTGAGGAGGAGGAGTAGGACTGAGGAGGAGAAGGAGGAGGACCTAGGAGGAGGAGGACCCAGAAGGAGGACTCAGGAGGAGGAGGAGAACTCAGGATCAGGAAGAGGACTCAAGAAGACTGAGAAGGAGGAGGACTGAGGAGTACTGAAGAGGATGACTGAGGAGGAGGAGCAGGATGAGAAGGACTGAGGAGGAGAAGGAGAAGGTGGAGGAACTAGGAGGAGGATGAACCAGGAGGAGGACTCAGGAGGAAGAGGAGGAGGACTCAGGAGGAGGACTTAGGAGGAATGAGAAGGAGGAGGACTGAATAGGAGGAGGAGGAAGACTGAATAGGAGGAGGGGGACTGGGGAGGACTGAGGAGGAGGAGGACTGACGAGAAGGATGAGAAGGAGGACTGAGGACTGAGGAGGAGGAGGAGGATGAAGAGGACCCAGGAGGAGGAGGACTGAAGAGGAGGACTGAGGATGAGGACTGAGGAGGAGGATGAGGACTGAGGAGGACTGAGGAGGGTGGCTGAGGAAGATGACTGACAGGGAGGAGGAGGAGGACTGAGGAGGAGGAGAAGGACTGAGGAGGAGAAGGAGGAGGACCTAGGAGGAGGAGGACCCAGGAGGAGGACTCAGGAGGAGGAGGACTCAGGAGGAGAACTCAGGAAAACTGAGGAGGAGGAGGAGGAGTGAATAGGAGGAGGAGGGGGACTGGGGAGGACTGAGGAGGACTAAGGAGAAGGATGAGGAGGAGGACTGAGGAGGAGGATGAGGACTGAAGAGGAGGACTGAGGAGTACTGAGGATGATGGCTGAGGATGATGGCTGAGGAGGATGGCTGAGGAGGATGGCTGAGGAGGATGGCTGAGGAGGATGGCTGAGGAGGATGACTGAGGAGGATGACTGAGAGGGAGGAGGAGGAGGAGAAGGACTGAGGAGGAGGAGGAGGAGGAGGAGGACCTAGGAGGAGGAGGACTCAGGAAGAGGAGGAGGATTCAGGAGGAGGACTCAGGAAGAGGACTCAAGGAGGAGGACTGAGGAGAACTGAGGAGGAGGAGGAGGAGGACTGAATAGGAGGAGGGGGACTGGGGGAGGACTGAGGAGGAGGGGGACTTGGGGAGGACTGAGGAGGAGGAGGACTGACGAGAAGGATGAGGAGGAGGATTGAGGAGGACTGATGATTGAGGAGGAAGAGGAGGAGTATGAAGAGGAGGAGGAGGACCCAGGAGGAGGAGGACCCAGGAGGTCCGGAGGAGGACCCAGGAGGAGGACCCAGGAGGAGGACCCAGGTCCCAGGAGGAGGACTCAGGAGGAGGAGGATAACGACTGAGGAGGACTGAGGAGGAGGAGGAGGAGGAGGAGGAGGAGGAGGAGGAGGAGGAGTCTCCAAAAGCTGTGTCTCCAATGTCTCCAATGCCCCTAATATCCATTTTATGTCCCTAATGTCCCCAATGTCTCCAATGTCCCCAATGTCTCCAATGTCTCCAAAAGCTGTGTCTCTAATGTCCCTAATGTCCCCAATGTCCCCAATGTCTCAAAAAGCTGTGTCTCCAATGTCTCCAATGTCTCCAATGTCTCCAATGTCTTTGTCTTTTTCGAAAAGATAAGGTGCGGGAGACATTGGAGACATGTCACCCCCCCCCCCCCCCTATATTATGACATATTAACTAACTAATGGATTTTCCTTACAGGGGCAGTTAAGATTGAAGGCATTTCTGTGCAACACTTTCTAGTTACTAGTCATTTTACTTTCATTGTCAAAAGTGTCATGGCACTCAAAGTCATTTTCACCACACTTAAAAAAAAACGTGTCCTTAACCTAGCACGTTCAGAAGTTCTGAACATTAGCCGCGTAACCCATACTCCCATATGCACTGCTCAGAAAGAAAATCTATTGTTGTTAGGCACTATAATGGTTCAAATGTCACATTTTGTGTGACTTATTTAACTGCAGTTGTCTAATTATCATTCCTTGGTCTGAAACATAGTAGATTAGGTCAATCTAACAATTATGATACAACATTGGTTAAAGGGCACGGATCGAACGGTTACAAGGCAATATTTAGGTAACTTTGTCACACTCAGAATACCATACCTCTATTCTACTGTGAGGTGTCCTCAAAACCCTTTTTACTCATTATTTGATGGTTGATCTACCAAGTACGGAGTACCAGTCATAGCCCTATAAAATATGTTGCTTTGAATAGTAAGCTAATACAGGCACAATGAGGTTAATTCTGTCACAATATATGGAATTTAAAATTTTGGGCGAATTATTTATATCTGATTTTGGTTTGAAAGGCGGGAAAACTTTACATGATGACAATGTAGTTGATGCAAGTTAAGATCAGTTGATGTTTACATTGTCACAAAAAATTATACGAAATCGTAACAATGATTATATAATGAAATAGTCTCTTATAATAAGTAATAACTCTTATAATAACTGATGTGACAAAGTAAACATGTCTTGCCCCTATTTTGAAGATCTATATATTCTATAACTCTATTAGAATTTAACATTCTTTCAGAAAAAATTGGTAGAATATTGTCCAGAACATCAGAGCTCAAGTTTAACAATTTTAGGTTAAATTTGTCAAAGTCACTAAAAATGTGACAAAATTAACTTTCCTGCCCCAACAATTTCAAGATAGTGTGTAAAAATTAGCATAGGCTGCCTTATCACCTGCTTATTACCTAAATAAATCAATCCAAACTACAAAAAAATATATGTTAATGTGATGACGATTACCTAACTGTAATAATAACTGATGTGACAAAGTAAACATGTCTTGCCCCTATTTTGAAGATCTATACCTCTATTAGAATACTATGTAATTTTATCATCAAAAAAATGTCGATAAACTAACTAGTTATTTTGCCAGCAAGGAGCTATTTACCCTATTTTTGACCATGTTGTGGTAGTTTAATTGTGACACTGTTAACATATTACCACACGTTAATGATTTATGTGACTGGTGCATGGTACTAGCAGTGTTGTTTGATCCATAGTACGTAATACAGAGGGTTTAAGCTGGTATATCATTATTTGTTCAATTTCACACATGTTCAGATATCATCAAGATTATGTGACAAAGTAAACTTGTCTGTGCCTTCTGTGTTTTAATTCCTTGCGACTATATGATATAATAACAATTCCTAGCACTTCCAGGCCATTAACTAAACCTACACTACTCAGCATTGCTTATCAGGGTTCCCTAAACATTGTTCACATATTTTCTTAAATGTGTGACAGAGTAAACCTGAGTGCACCATCTAACGAAAAAAGTCGTCAAATATGTAGGTAATGGTCATATGTACACATCCAATCAATTGGACACTCAAAATTTTGGTCGAAAACGGCAGCAAGGGGTCCATATTTACTCTGTCACATGTTTATAGTGTGACAATGTAACCATTTCCGTGCCGGCCGTATTTAAGCGATATCTTATCACCTGATTAAGATATCGTTATGTGACAAAGTTAGCCTAGAGGATGAGACGATTATCCTAACCATCAAGGGTTTGTGTAATTTCATAGTGTGACAAAGTCAACTACACTGTGCCTTTTAATAGGGTCACTTATATTTACCGATATCCTCAAACTCAAATGAACGTGTCCATATACAAATTTAATATAAATTCAATAGAAAACTAAATAAAATGTATAAACACCCTTTAACTTGTTAAAATATTATTCAAATTTTTGTGTACTACTAGTAGAGGCTCTTACGGGCAAAAATACGTGTTTTCTGCTAAGATTTTGGAGACCTAACCATTAATTGGACACAATAGTATGATGTGCAAGGATCAAGAATATGTTTAGAAGTACAGTATAAATAGGACCTTATTAGTCACGTGCTATATACCAATGCACGTTTTAAACTTTGACAGTCTATAACTCTTAGGCCAATATAAAAGTATTTATATTCATATTTTGTCAGCAATAAGATCACCGATCACATTGTTTTTTCTATTTGGTGTGAAAATATGAGCTAAAACAAACGTAATCTCGTTAAGCTATGGCTGTTTGAAATTTTTGTTGATTGACGATGTCAACCCATCGAGATCGTTGCTTTACTTTATGGTAAGTATTTAAAGTTAAAGTGCACAAACCTGTACTTTAAATCGTTATAATATCTTCACAATTACTTTAAAACCAAAACTGACTCGAATCCGGCCTAAAGCATTAACAGCTTTAATATCGTTTTACAAGCCTGTCGCGTGCGCGCGTCTGACAGAAATTGTTATTTGCTCATAACTCGTAAAAAATGAGTTTCATGCTAAGTAATAGGATTAATTTTAAAAAAGTGTATTTGGAGTTAATAAACTCCCCCAGCGTATCGAGTAGAAAATTACCGTAAGAGTTTTTTATAATTAGGAAAGAATGGCACGCCTGGAGAGGATTGATTTTTTCATGAAATTAACGTAAAAAAATTGGGCGTGAGGCCAGATTTTGACCGTCGCGTTTTGTGTACATGCGTGCTTATACATTTTTGTTTTATAAATAAGCTATGTGATTGTGAAATTAAACTATATCAATATTTTACGCTGATTTCGAATAAATCTTATTACATAGCATGAAAATGATTTCTTGACGAGTTATGAACAACTAACCATTTTTTAACGCGCGCACGTGACAGGCTTGTAAAACCACCATAGCATCTATCACGATACAAATATTTCATTAACATTTTAATAAATTTAATGATATGTTTAAAATGTTAAAAATTTTGTTCATTTATTGCTGTAGTCTGTTAAGTTTGAATATTATTTAGTAAAAAGTGGGTAAAATTGCTAATTATATATGTTAGGTGTAGAATTTTTGAAATCTTGAGTTCAATTCCATTTACGGAGAATCGAGCGCTATAATTTGACTTACTTTCGTATACAAGTAGAGGATGCATCACGACCAAACAACATCCTAGCAAAATTATGATGACATGATGAAACACTATTGCTCACGAGGTACTGTGATGTAGTAAAACATGTAAGAACAAGGATAAGATTTGCAATGTTGAGAACAACTCTGATTGCTATACGAGGGTACCGAGGAAAGAAGGTGGACACCAAACGTGAGATTCAGCTATCAGAAGTCTCATACAACCCCATCCCTGCCCCTATAATGGAGTAGATCATGTGTTTTGTTAAAATGTTTTTTCAAAAAAAGATTGGTAGCAATGAATTGTGCTCTGCCAATTGCAACACTTAAAATTTGATTGTGCTCTGCCTATTGCATCACTTGATTTACCTGAGTCTATATATATAATATACTGTTTGATACACTTTTCTATTGCTCACGATCCGTCCATATAAGCAAAGCCATGTTAAGCATTTACTAATATAACTGCAGTAAGAGAATCTATGTAATATAATAATGTATAAGACCTTGCAAGGTGTTGAAATAACTTGGTTTATCGTGTTTTTGCAGCTAGGTATATGGTTTGTTGACCCTAATTGATCGACTACCGTCAATTTATTGGTTTGTTTTTGAGCCATTTAAGACTAAATCGATAATTAGGAGATGTAGATCCATAACGAAATTACTTAATGACTTAAAAGCAACATAATGAAAATACTATTTTGAGTTTCATTGTTATCAATTGTGTGCCTAAATATAAGCATCGAATTCCCCACATCGTGTTTTATCACAATCTTATTACTGTTCTGTCAAATTACTATCACCCAATCTACTAGGCTGATCCTGCTTATGGAGACCTTACCCATTATTTTCGCTGCAACTATTATCACGCTGTTGACTGTGTTGTATCTTTGTTTTAAACCTGCTCCCTATGGAAAATTCACACCATCCGGTGGGGTTTTTTCTGCTTTCAAAATCAACAGCAAGCTAGCATGGCTACTTCAAGAGTGCCCTGCATTTTTGATTCCCTTTTACATCATTGCCTTTAAATATTCCACTCTTACACCTATGTCTTTACTGGGACTTGGACTGTTTTCTCTGCATTATTTCAATCGATCTTTCATCTTTCCGATGTTGATAAAAAGCAGTAGAGATACTCCAATTGAAACATGCTTAAGTGCATTTGCCTTCTGCTGTTTCAACGGTTGGCTGCAATCCACAAGCATCATCGAAAGCAACCATCAAACAAGAGATACGTACGCTTCTGGTCTAGGATTTATCCTCTTCTTTATTGGAATGTACATAAACATATCTGCTGATGAACATCTGCGGGAGCTAGCTGCTCAGAGGGTGGGGAACAGGTATCTCACGCCCCTCAAAGGGATGTTTCAATATGTTTCTGCAGCTAACTACTTTGGTGAGATAGTGGAGTGGTTTGGGTTTGCGCTACTGTTACAAACTCCAGGTTCAGCCTGGTTCTCTCTTTTCACTACACTGTTTCTTGGACAACGTGGATACCAGACTCACAAATATTATCTTACTAAAATTGACGATTACCCAAAGAGTCGCAGCTCTGTTTTCCCATTCTCTGGATTTTAGTTGGACTAGCTTGTTTTGTGGTTAATCACTCACAAATTAGAAAAAGTGAAACCTCTTTCAGATACAGAACAGAATTTTTCAAATTCAAATGAATCAAAAGCAAATCTATACATTTTCACCACTGTTATTTGGACTCTTAATATATCTTAAATACATTCAGGGTAATCAAATTCTATGCTTTTCATTGCATGTGGGCTTTTAGGGAAACATATAGGCAATTTAATGCTTAAGGGGATAGTCACTGTACATGCACTTTAAAACATTTTGCCATGGTATAATAGAGTATGCTGTCAGCGAAAACACTGCCATGGATGTTTATTCCACCTTATATTCTTGATTTAATGATGGACTTTAAGTTCCTATGATGAGATATAATACACCTCATATACGTATGATATTACAAAATCTCTTTCTAGTTTCTTGCATCCTGAGTGAATGAAAATTGATATATCTGTTGCAAAATTTCGTTGTTGTGTATGTATTTAAAACTGATTTACTTCTAGTATAAACATGACTGGAGTGGCAGCGGGAATGATAAGGTAACAATTGTCTTGCCCTGTATGTGCTGATTTTCCTTGAGATTCTGACTGCACAACTTTATGTCTTGATGTCTTTTTGTGTAATGTAACAATTGATTACCTGGGATGAAATTAAAATATTTTAAAATTCTCACCAGGACTAGCCAGCTATGCGTACTTTGTATTTTTTCAACTTATTTCATGGTCATTTTTATAGCATCTACTAATTTAAATCTTTAGAAGTGTATAGCATTGTTTCATTTATGTAAGATTTTGCATGCTAATTACGATTAACTTAATATAATAATATAGAGACTAAAAAATACTGATTGGTTTCTAGGTATGTTACTGAGGATGAATTTTTCGCTTGTCTTGACTGGCTAAACTTTTTTCCTCTTCAACTTTGTCCCTGAAAATGGGTGCTTACTGACTGACTGACTGACTGACTGACTGACTGACTGACATAACTTGACATAGCAGAGTACTAACAAACTAAAAGCACTTACAGTGGACTCTTAACTGACTACACAGTCCACACTTTATACATTACAAAGATACTTTAATATTGTGAAAGGGAAGAATCCGAACTTCTTTAGATGGATTGAACTATTTTGAAGTATTCTACTCACAGCTTTATTTACAATGAACACTTCTTCGAAGCATGCTTCTTATGCTAAAGCCTTAAGTTCAGGCTGTAGGACATATTTTCACACATAGAATTTAGAACTTAAAATTCAACCATCACCATTCAACTCACAGATTTCATGACCCAAACGCACTCTCATTTGGTGCTCACATTACCAGAACTCACTTTTTAAAAGCCTGAGAGCAGCACACCGCCATAGAATGTCGCAGTAGCCGACATGGTTAACTTACCGTGTCTTTCCCACTGTAGTGAGGCGGACATGTCAAAGCTCCTCCGGTCCGAGGAGATGACCCTCGTGCAGATATTCTTATCTCAGGAGGCGTCATACAACTGTATCAGAGAACTTGGAGAGTTGGTCAGTTAATTTATTAATAAATTAATTAGGATATGCATGAATTTGTATTTTCGAACTATGATTTTTCTTTCATAGATTAGAAGGGATTAGTTTTAAAACTATTTTATCATTTCAGGGTGCGGTTCAATTTGCTGACGTGAGTTTTTTACATACTTTCAACAATTAGTATCGATAATATAATGCTGCGGAAGCTAAGTATTCGAACAAAACGGATATATCTGTGATTTCAACATTGTTCAACAGTTGATGCTATGATATCACATAATCCTCGTTAACGTCACTGTAATTTCAGCTAAATGAAGGAGTGAACGCTTTCTCTCGTAACTATGTGTCAGAGATCAGACGTTCTGAGGAAATGGAACGACGACTTCGTAAGTAGTGTACTGTAGTGTATATGTAGTACTGAATTGTAACGTAATTTGATAGGAATTTGCGAGTTTTCTCACATTTACCATGTTTAGAAAGAACTTATAATAATTTTACAATAATAAATATCAAGTTAAGTATTAGTAGATGTCTGAGTGACTGAATTCTGTTCAGGATTCTTTGCTGGGGAGATTGAGCGAGAGAAGCTTCCTGTCCCTGCTGACTACAAAGTCCCTCAAGCCCCTAATCCTAAAGACCTGATCGATCTCGAGGTAAAAAAGCAGCAACAATTTACTGTTTTTAAGATAGTCCTGTATTTTTCAAATTTCAAGAGCCTAAAGCCGATAAGAATGAACAAATTGCCACCAAACTTATTACGGCCGACGCGACAGCAGATCTGGCTCACCCTGTAATCTGTATCATGTTTATATATCGAGTGAGTTACTTAAACACATTACAGGCAACACTAGAGCAACTGGAGGGGGAGACTAGACAGATTAATGCCAACCAGGAAGCTCTTTTGAGGAACTTCTATGAGCTAAAAGAGCTGAAACACGTTCTTAACTCAGCTAGTACTTTCTTTCAAGAGGTTTGAAATTCTTCTTACCTGGACCTCACTTCATCTTAATCTACTGAATTGTACAAAAAGATTTGTTTTTGTCCCAGAACTTGGAAAGCCCAATGCAACATATGCAAGGTGTGACTGACATTTTAAAACCAACCTGTTAGGGTGCAGCGATCCAGCAGGAAGGGCTGAAGGAGCGACTTACGCCGAAATACGACGAGGAAGCCGGAGGTAACATCTCCCGGCACCTCAGTTTCTTGTGTGGTGTTATCAACCGGTCTAAAATCCCTGTTTTTGAAAGGGTCCTCTGGAGAGCCAGTAGAGGTCTGTTATTTTAAACTTCTTGTTATTTATTATTCTACTGCTAACTGGTTATTTTATTTGTTATATATTATTATTAAGCAAACGTTTCTATTGTATAAATCCAATTGATTTTCCATCGTTATTCCCCAATTTTTGGTAAAATAGCATTGGCATGGGCTTTGAAAGCTAAAGCTTTAAAAGCTTGAAAATAAACAATCACCATATATATTTTATTTCTCGATTATTCTATTTTGACTTGGGATTTATTTATTAGGATTTGTCGTTTTAACCACTTTCTTAAATCTCTTTGTTTGTCTAGGTAAAGCTCTGTTGAGACACATGGAGATAGAGGAGCCTCTGAAGGATCCAGCCACCGAAGAAGAGATCTCCAAATCTACTTTCATAGTCTACTTCCAGGGAGAGCAGCTCAAGATGCGAGTCAAGAAGATCTGTGAGGGGTAAGTTCTGAGAACGTGACTTTTAGCTCTAACAAATTAATTTTGTAGTTCTTACAGTGTCTCATAAATTGTGATAGCTACCTGGCCATAGTTCCCATGGCCATAGTTAGGTCAGATCTCAAGATGCAATTTGTGGACCAAATGGTCGAGTGAAAATGATGATATTATTATGGTAAGAAGTGTTTTGTCCAAAAATACAATTTAAAACTCTGCTGAGAATATCAAACTAACCTACCGCTCGTTCAGTTTGGGAGCAACTACATACCCTTGCAAAGAAGACTGGGAGGAGAGAAGACAGACAGAAGCTGAAGTTGACAAGAGATTGGAGGAGTTGACCAGTATTCTTAACGAGACCAAGAACCACCGCTTCAGGATGCTGAACACCGTTGTCAGCAGTATCAACTCTTGGATCATCCAGGTAAATTGTCAATACATCCAGGTATTTTGTGTACACAGTACATAATTGTGTACTGTATAGTTGTACGTTGGGCCGGTAAGCGTGCACAGTATACATACGTAAGAACATAGCATACACGCGCTACTATTGGATGTTTTCATTTCCGTAACATGCAGTTACCCCACATGTGATTATCTCATGTTGTGGCTTAATCACTACATACCATACAGTTACTGCGCACATGATGTACACTGTTCATTATGGAATGTATTGATCTAGCTATACATATAAATTATGAAACTTGAGAGAAATACACGGTGAAAAGTACATACTACATAGTAAGTTATGAACTATTATCGTATCATTATAATTAATTCTATCACGTGTTCAGGTTAGAAAAGTGAAGGCTATCTGGTACACGATGAACAAGTTTAAGAAGACAGAAACAGGGCTCCTGCACGCGGAGGGATGGTGTCCTAAACTACAACTCAACGAAGTTGACAGGGCCCTCAAACGTGGAGCGGTATGTTGACACTCGCAATATTTTCATTAATTTGATTTTACAGAGTAAGGTCAGCTACTTTATATGTACTGAACTATTTTATTGACGATAACAGCCAGAAATCATTGATTTTAATAAATAATTAAGTTTACCGAAGCATTGAAACCATTTTGAATCTGTTGTTGACATTAAAAATAAATATCCTAAAATATAGCCCTCCTCAGCAATCAGCGGGTAGCGAAGTAGCGCCTATCCTAAACACGGTAACAACGCGACGTACCCCACCCACCTACCACCGTACTAACAAACTGACTAAGGGTTACCAGGCTATCATTGACGCGTACGGTGTGGCTTCCTATCAGGAGATAAATCCAGGTTTTTAGGGCCTGATATTTATATTGTTTATTTTGTTTTAAAGGTGTGTTTAAACTAGGGGTGTCTGATATTTTAACTGTTCATTTTACTTTTGAGAAGTCTTACTAGGGTATTTGAATTTAGTTTTTTGTTCATGTTTCATGATTATGAGTTACAATCTCGCGCCACAGGGAAATGTCTAATCTAGACCTTTTTAATCTCTAAATAAATTTCATCAACGTGTAAAAACCAAACTACAAAGAGCTCGTATTCTAACAGTGACATATTTTCAGCGATATTTACAATCATAACGTTCCCCTTCCTGTTTGGTATCATGTTCGGAGATATCGGTCACGGGTTCATTATGTTCCTCGCTGGACTGTACCTTGTATTGAAGGAGGGTTACTTCACCAAACGGCTCAAGTCATACGAAGAGGTGAATTTTATCTTTGCGGAGATTTAACCTGATAAGATAAACCATTTTGGAGTGGTTATATTTGGATATAATATTTGGACCGAAAGCTATAAAAACTGCATGTTAAATGATAGGAAATCACTTTTTGAACTGACACGATGGCCCCTTCACAAGATAAACCAACATTGAAAATGACTGATCGTTCTCACAGATATTCCTGATGATGTTCCACGGTCGGTACATTATAATGATGAACGGACTGTTTGCTGTGTACGCAGGATTCCTTTACAACGACATATTCTCACTCTCCATCAATATATTCGGTTCTTCCTGGCAACCTACAAACTACACGCGCTACGAGAAAAACTCATCTCAGTAAGTTAAAGAAATGCACCCTTTTTGTAATGTGAGGAAGGAATGGTATTTTCAAGTCAAGTCCTAATAAATAAGCGTCGATATTCGTTCCAAATACTGCAACATTTTTGATGCCAATATTACTGATTCCTTATATTTTCAGCTACATTAATCCCGATGCTATCTACGGTTTGGATCCAATAGGAGACGAATACAATGGAGATCCCTACTTGTTCGGAATTGACCCCTTCTGGAATCTGGCGGAAAACAAGCTAACTTTTGTTAATTCCTATAAGATGAAGCTCGCTGTTATTCTTGGGCTCACACAGATGACATTTGGATTGATTCTCAGTTTCTTTAACTATAAGTAAGATATAATATTTGTTCGGTCGAAGTTTAATTTGATTGACTTGATCGTGTAAACATTATCTATTTCCGTATTGGGGGCGGTCACACTTTGACGTCCTAGACTGTCTTAGTGCGCGCACGCGAAAATACTTTTCATGTACAAACTAATCCTAAACTTCCGGCAAGTGCGCGCGCGCGAGCACGTACGTTATACGTACGTACACATGTTATATATCCCAATAATACTCTCTGCAATAGTACATACATTGTATATCTTTACTTCGCGAGTAATGAAATATGAATAGACTGGTCTGATGATTGATATGAACAGTTCATTAAAGTTGGCCATCTCATCCTTGGATGGCCGAATCCATCTAATTGTTTCGGTACTTAAAGTGTCAGTAGTTTAACTTCAATCTAACCAATGTTTTTCAGGTTCAAGGGCAAAACTCTAAACATATATTGCACATTCCTCCCACAAATGATTTTCTTGCAATGTCTCATCGGTTACCTGGTCTTCATGATATTTTTCAAGTGGTTCGCATGTGATGCCACCACAGACCAACCATCACTTCTTATCTGTCTCATCAACATGTTCCTGAAGTTTGCGGGAGAAATTGACGAGGGAATGCAGCTTTATCCAATGCAGGTAATTGGTAATTAGTTGTTATCCAGGTAATTACTAATTAGTTATTATTCTTGCTCGTTGTATCGTTTATTAGGAAATATTTTTCACTGTTAACACTCCCAACGGTCATTCCGCGACTCACATTGGCCACACAGAGCTAGAATATTCTGACTCATAATTTTCGTTTTATTGGACTTGTGACCCATGTTCCATTAAGATAAAAAAGAAACCATAATGTAACCTTTTAATTTTACTTCCTCAGCGCTACATACAAGCTGCACTGGTGGTAGTGGCGGTGATATGTGTGCCGTGGATGTTTGTCGCCAAGCCAATCATCGAGCACATGTACCCACGAGTCCGGCAAGCGGTAAGTTATGTACTCCGTGGTGCGTTTCGTAGTTTGACACTTTATACCTCACGAATTCTGAAGGAATAAAAGCATTATTATTGGAAGGTATTCTCTTAAATAAAACAAACCTCTTTGCTGCTAATTCTACATGTGTGTGTGTACGTGTCACGTGTGCGTGCTGTATGTGCCAACCTGTTTATAATATACTTGGCTTTAAAGGGGTTCGAATAATTTCATAGCTAAATTAAGTTTATAAATCGCTTAATCGATTTCACAGTCCGTCTCCAAGTCTAGATTCAATACTATTTAAATGAATCTAATTTCTAATGATTTCAAAAGCACTTTTGATCCGTGTGTTCGAATGATCAAAAAAAAAGGCCGCCGAAATAATCCTCGTTTTGATTCGGTGCATGTATCGCTGACGCATGTTTACAATCCCCATTAGAGCTATGCCCCAATACCACAGAACTATCAACAATTCGATAATGAGGGAGATGATGAGGAAGAAGAGGGGGAGGAAGATCACGGAATGATGGATGTCATGGTGCACCAAGGTATCGAGACTATCGAGTTCACGCTGGGTTGTATCTCCAACACTGCCAGTTACCTCCGACTCTGGGCTCTCTCACTCGCTCACGCAGGTTAACTGTCATTATTAGTGTATCTTCACGTTAGATGAACGGTCCAGTCATTCGTATAGACATAGAATATAGATATATATGTTATTTTGCAGAAATATCTACGAAATTGAACCGGTGAGACTAGTCTCTTTTACCTTTACAAATAAAGAGACAACCAAAAAGACTGGCTGAACTGGCGAAGTTTCATTTCATTAAACTGTGATATTGATAACTTTGAGCAGTAATTCTCGTATTATGCTCAGATTAAACCTGTCCTCATTTCATAGAGTTATCTGAAGTGCTGTGGAGTATGGTTATGCAAGCTGGACTGGGTATGGACATCAACAAATACGTCAACCCCATCCTCATCATTGTGACGTTCTCGTTCTGGGCGGTCCTCACTGTGGCTATCCTCATTGTGATGGAGGGACTGTCTGCCTTCCTTCACGCCCTCCGTCTTCACTGGTTAGTTTTTAGTGTGCACTGTTACGCTTATAGATATATATTATATACATCTAGGTTAAGTTATTTTGTCGTTGGGCCGGGTCGTATCTAGGTTAAATTGTCGCATACTAATGATTATAATGATGACAATCTCTCTCACCAGGGTGGAGTTCCAAAACAAGTTCTACGAGGGAGAAGGTCACCTTTTCGCTCCCTTCTCCTTCGAGCGAATGCTGAATGGGGCTGACGACGAGTAGAGATTATGTCATGATTCCTGCAGCTGTGCTTTTAAACTCTCAAGCCTGATACATCATAAATTACTGTTTATTTTAACTGTTCTTTGTGTGAATTAGGACTTAATGAATGGATTTTTCGGATTTATCGGTTATTGTAGGAGTTTTGTATGTGCCTTTCACTTTCACCGGTGCATCAACTTACTTCATATTCAAGACTTCGATGATTTTTATTTCGGGTTCGGTTCAGCTGGCTGAATCGACACGACAATCAGTATCAAGTACACCATTAAATGTTTTAGTTTTCTTTGAATGTTAGTTTTCTTCAAATGTAAGTGTTATATACGAATGTTATACGACAAGTGTTATATACGATTGTAGATTGTTTGAATGAAATAGTTTATTTCCTGGATTCTTTTTTGTGAACATTTGATCTTGTTCAGTTGTTCAATTCCTTATTTAATTTAGCTGAGTGTCCAAAGGAACGCCAATTCACGAAAAACATATTCAGCATCAAATGAAGGCTCTGTTTAAATCAATATTTTCAATTTTAGCAATTTTTGAGAAAACATCAATGAGAATGTTACTGGGCCGCGCTTTGTAGCGCGATGCACTACTGGGTCGCGCGCGCGCATCCAATAATGCTTCTCGCAACCACAGATCGGCGAGATGCGAAGGATTGACGTCGTGAATCAAGGCCGCGCTCAGCCTGTCATTCCGCCTAATCTAATGTTTAACTTTATGAATATGAGGTCCCAAGGTAATGAGAATTATGCACCCTAGCAATTGGCGCGCGCGGCGGCTTTGATGTTAGGGGCTACAAGTTCAAAGTTAGGCAGCTGACGAAAAAACGCCACACGCGTTCAGCGTACGGCTTTTCGTTTTTGATTTTACAAAGCAACTTTTAATTATTATTAATGAAATTATCGAATATTTATAATTCAATATGTATTGATTCTTCTGTGGAAAATAAAAATTGTATTTTACTAACATTGTATTTTACTAATGCGAACGAAATGAGTTATGGCCAAACGATTCTTCAATTTCAAAATAATAAAGTCAAAGGACTCTGTTTTAAAACACAAGCTCATTCTTATGGAAGTTTAATTCTGTCTATTCTAATTTTTCGTACCTGGACTGTATCTTGAGTAGCTCACTTTTCAGTGTTACTTTAACTAAGTTCGTTGATTTAGTAAAGCTTATCAAATTGTAGCGCGATGCGTTACTGTGCCGCGCCGCGCACTCAATGAGGCTTCTCACAGTGAGATCGGCGAGATGCGCTACTGTGCCGCGCCGAGCTGCGATGAATTGACATCGTCAATTAACTTATCAAACTGCCACATTTTTGTTGATTGATAAATGAAAGAGGAGGATGGGTTCGGGCCGGTGATGAACTCAGAACTGGTATGAACGTCTTTGTGATGGTGATCTGTGGAGTAAAGATAGGAGTGAGATTGGAGATTCTAATCTGACAATTTTGAACAGTTTTAATAAACATGTGTATTTTTACAAGTTGTGGACGGTAAGAAGGCCGCTCTTGTTAAACAACGGCTTTGTAAGCTCTTTTTCAAAGAATTCCCTTCCTAGGATTTGTTCATCTATACAACATGTTCTGGCACATGTTCTAAACTTATCTAGATATGCTTCAAGGTCACCAAATAGTATTCTGATACATTTTTTCTGAGTGATGAAGATAGGTTGAAGCATATTGTTACTTGACCCACCCCATACCGATATTCCAAATCTTAGGTGTGACTCAAATAACGTGTGGTACAATTCTTTATGGTGTTTTTTCGGGATAACGTGTCGTATTCTACTGAGTCTTCCGATCTCACATCTAAGTTTCGAGTTGAGGGCTCTTATTTGAGCATCCCATTTTAGCTTTTCGTCAATAATAACACCTAAAAACCTGGTCCCTTGAACTTGCTTTATTACCGTATTATTCAGAGTTAGTATACATTCTGATTCGTTATCTGCCTTATTATCAGTAGCTGTACGTGACGGCTTGAAGTGAATGTAGCAGCATTTCTTTATATTTATATGTAACAAGATACTCCTCAAGAAGATTCAGGCCTTTGGTATCCGTGGTAAGCTCTAGGACTGTAGGGTGAGAATCCCTGCCACGTTTTTGGTCAGTTTCGCCGGGGCTCATGTCTCTCCTCGAGGGAGCATTAGTTTCTACAGAAGAACGGACAAATCCTAGCGAAGTCCAATCCGAACCACATCTTCCACCAGAGGTGGTGCTGGGTCAGCTGGTTACTGAACGGATTGGCCTGGAGAAAGGCATAGTCCTGTTATTCTCAAGTTAACCATAGAGGGGGTCAGGCGCTGTTCGCTCATGGCTGGTTCTTGGAGCCAACACCCTCAGCCCCACAGAAGTGGGAGCACTGTCGGTGGTGGCACACCCAGATAACGGACAGTGTCTCTCCTTCTTTCTTCTTGGACTTGCATTGTTGCTGGTGAGTCAGCTGGCAACAGTGTACCATACTGACTGGATCAGATCACACCAGTCTCATTTCCAGGCGAACCCACCCCCACTCACTCACTCACTCACACGCCGCCCCCCGGGCCGCTCCAGCTAGTGGATATCTAGCAATTAGTTATTTTCCAGCTAGTGGATATCTAGCACTTACTCCTTTTCCAGCTAGTGGATAATTAGCACCCAGAAAAACTCCGGTAAACGGAAGCAACACAAACACACAAACAAAGAAAAGTCACACGCGGCCCAAAATTTCAAATTAAACAAAAAAGGGTCTTCACAAAACACAAATTTGCTTGGTAGCTTCTTATTGTCAACATTTACCGCGCGCGCGTCGCAAAGACGCGCGCAAATAAAATAAAATAGATCGTAGATTTGGGCAAGAGATACTAGATGCTCAGGTATGCCCTGTAGGTTCCTGTCAGCTCACTAGAAAAGACAGGGGGCAGCCTGTTCTAAAAGAGCGCCCGGGAGATCACCTAGGCATGGGTGGTGCTCTCCCGAGAACGAGCATTATGACAGTTTTCCTTCGGGAAAACGTCGCTCACCAGGCTTTATCCTCCGGAGGGTAAGGAGCACTAGCCCATGCCAAGTGCCCGTACCCTGTGACACCTACAACCGGAGGGACCCCAATAGACGTTAGTCACCAGACGGACGTAGCCTTCCGACAGGAAGGTGAAGTGGGTGCCCCAACCCAAAAAAAAAAAAAAAAAAAAAAAAGCTCTAGGACTGGATAGCCAGCTTTCTTACAGTGGTGTGCCCACCTACGAGTGGTATTGAAACGTCGCGCGCCTGAAACGTCGCGCGCCTGAAACGTCGCGCGCCTGAAAGCATGATAATGTCAGCCGCGCCGTAAGCTTTGATCAGGTTTCAGGTATCGCGTCCGCGGCAAACAGAAGATAAATCGGAAATTGTGGAACCAGATGATACGGTTTTTGAGGCATTTTGATACGGTCATTTTAGTCTGTTAAAGTAGTCTCAGAGTGCTGGAAATGGTTTCACGGTGTAGGGGGATGTGTTTACTAACTATTTTGACGTCAAAATTGTCGCCAGAGGCTCCCTGAGTCATGGAATGAACGGAATGAACAAAAGTGAAATTTTTTCTAAAACTCGTCGGATTGCCCCAAAACAGGTCGGAATCGTTTGGTATTGACCCTTATAGTGTTCCTACAAAGTTTGGTGGCCCTAGCACTCCCAGAACGCCCACTAGAGACTTGATTCCATTTCCGTATCAGAAAGCTGGTTCGTGAGTATCCGATATTGATACGGTCATTTCAGTCTGTTAAAGGGGCTGCAGAGTGCTGGAGATGATTGTACGGTGTAGGGGGATGTGTTTACTAACTATTTTGACGTCAAAATAGTCGCCCAAGACTCCCTGAGTCATGGAATGAACGAAATGAACAAAAATGAACATTTTTCTAAAACTCGTCGGATGGCCCCAAAACAGGTCGGAATCGTTTGGTATTGACCCTAATAGTGTTCCTACGAAGTTTGGTGGCCCTAGCACTCCCAGAACACCCATTATACCCTTGGCTGGATTCAAGAATTTAGAACCAGTTGAGCAGATACAACGGATTTTGAGAAATTTTGTCTGCTTGTGTTGTTGCAGAGAGTTGAATTTGGTTCAACAGTATTCAAACAAGATGTGTTCCAACTTAGTTTTGTAGCCCTACCATTTTCAGCCTTACCATTTTCAGAACGTCCAATAGAATCCGGTTCCATTTTCTTCCAAGAAGCTGTAAACAAGGTTGTTTGAAATTTAAATTTAACCTCTCTGGTAATACAACTTTTTACTTGGATGGATTTCAATAATTAAAGAGAGCAGAGTTTTAAAAATTTGCCAGTATTTGGCACAATTTCTTTAGCTATTTCTTCGGACAGTTTTGATGCATTTACAGTGACTAACCACGCCTTTTGTTATATTTAACGGAACGTAAGATTGTGTATTCGTCTGAACCACCAGATATAATGATAACAAGATAAACAGTGACTGAAATATGGCGAAAACTTGTTTAGCCCGCAGCTATTGAAAATGTCGAGTTTACGAAGCTTGATGTCTAAATGATAACACAATTCTTTTAAGCAGATAAGATATTAAATCGAATACATGAAAACATAGCACGGCATGATAATCAAATGAACATTATGTTAACCATCAGTCTTAGTTTGTTCCTTTGTATGTGATGTACAGCCTGCCAGCATCTTAAGATCATCATAGCAGTTCACGCAACATTGGTCGTCTGAACTGCTTAACACTTGCGGAGGACATTTAAAAGACATCCGTCGTAGATGATATGTAGGGGGCCTGGTAGTGTGAACATAAGTCTTCGAAGGGACCATATGTGTGACAGAATCGCGTTGTGCACAATAGCAGAGGCCGCTTCGTTGGGTTGTTGATATCACGCTCAGCTCTGAAACAAAACACGAGGGTTGTTAGACGTGTAAAAACTGAAACCTTTCAAGTTCTGGGGTTATGTAATAGACAAGAACAATGCATTGAATATAGAATCAGGACCTCTATCAGAAGTCAAATATCAAATATCACACGAATTGGTAAACATTTCGATCATGAAATGAAACGAGATATTGTCACCGATTATAAGAATTAGGAGGTCACAAAAAGCAGCTTACTTGGGAACCATGACTGGAGTACACACAACCTCGACTGATTTCAAGAAACTGAACCCCCCAAAGTTGGGACCTTCACTCAACCACATTTGGGTACAGCCTGCAAAAATGATTATACATTCACCCACCGAGAAAAAAATAAGTTTTAAATTAAAATTTAAAAGGACTGCTGAAAATTTATTTTCCCCTGTAAAGTCTTAAAAAATGGGGGGGGGGGGGGGGGGGGGGGGGGGGGGGGCGGGTGGGTCCCCCCGCCCTAGAAGAGTGGGCTGGCAAACAGAAGGGGGGTCTATTCACCTGGAAATTGGGGGTGGGAAAC